CCCCGCACTGCTTTGGGCGACGGTGTCACCATCTGGTGAGGCTTGCGATACTTATTAGACAGACCGGACGCCTTGAAGTTCTCAGCATATGTTTTTTTTTGGCTGCGTCCTGTACATTGAATGTTTTTTAGTGTAAACCTTTTTTGAATTTTGCATTGCGTACTCGCGACGGATTGTACCTACAGACTTGAGTTGCAAGGGCCAGCTACGAGCTCTGTGCGGCATCCTGTTGGCGGAAGCTCGCACAGCGCGGCCATGTTCAGAGATTGAAGAAAGGCTCCTGCCACCACCCGCTGATATCTTCGAGTCGGATGGGCTGTCGACAGACAAACATCACTCAATGGGTCGTGCAAAAATTAACAACGTATACTGAGGTCGTGCAGAAAACGTTTGTATCCAAAGGGTGTGCTCTTTTTTCTCAAATGGTTTTTGTTCCCAACTACAATTGAAGCTCCAGATCGTTTTGTCGCCAGCGCGGCGAGAAAGTCGCCAGGTTCGAGACAGTTCGCCACAGCTGGCAACGGTGCCTGGCGAAACTCGGGCATTACGCATCGGTTACGCCACGAGGGGGTGAGGAGCGAGTGGTCTAGCAGCTATACCCATTTCTGGTAGCCACTGGATCCTCATCCATTTCCACCGGTTCCAAATGTCATTTCGCCAATTAATACTATGGTGACGGATAGCTACATGCTACGTGATGAACTTGCTTTACCACACACATACGACTTTGGTTGTACCGAACACGTTCTAGTTCGTGCATAAACATAATTCATTGTCACGTGAGATCACTTGGGATTAAGATACTGTGGATTTAAGCCATCATTATGTGCTATTTGCAATGCGTGTGTGTTTTCCGCAGTAGTTTTCTTTTGCGTACTCACCGGCGGTTGAATCCAACAAGTGACTAACCAAGTTCGTCAGGTGGTGAAGTCACTGAGTAGCACGTTAAGTTAGTCATAAGGTCGTTTCAAAACGCGCTTCAGCAAATGTGCACAATTTTTACTCGTCTTATGTGCGGCCAGGTACAACAAAACTTTACCATGTAAGCCGACTAAAGATGAGGCGAATTGCTACAAAATTGTGATGTACAATTGACCACGGGAAGCGATGTCATGCTGCGTTACGACAATCATCGACTCATTGGGAGCAATCTCACTTCCAAGAGCTAAGGAACAGTTTTGACATATCTCACTCAGCTTATAATGATCAGGTGAATGTCCCGATGCCAACGATTCGTTGTGATTTTCAAATAGCAAAATTCATCTCTCATTCCTCAGTTCATTTCAGCGCAACATTAGAGCAAGTCCGAGTCCATCATAAATCGAGCACAAGTGTGCATGCTCGTGAAAGCGCCCACATTCGCTTGCTTAACAGATGCAACGAAAATAATCTGTTTGTGGCGTGGCATCACAAAGCTGTTCTTTGCAGCTAGAGTGAGAAAAAGCAATGTTGTCACCAAATGACTGCGGGAGACAGACGGTGGACCACTAGCGGCAGCCAGACGGCGGTCCACTGGCGGCAGTCAGACGGCGGTCCGTTGGTGACAGACAGACGGCGGACCACTAGCGGCAGGCAGACGGTGGTCCTTCTGTGACAGACAGACGGCGGTCCACTAGCGGCAGACAGACGATGGACCACTAGCGGCAGACAGACGGTAGTTCATCGGTGACAGACAGACGGTGGTCTACTAGCGGCAGACCGACGGCGGTCCACTGGCGGCAGACGGACAGTGGACCACTGGCGGCAGTCAGACGGCGGTCGACTGGCGGGGGCACACGACGGTCCACTGGCGGAAGCTGTTATATTTGGCTACTTGTTATGAAATTTGGATGATACAGGAATCGATTTATGGTAAAGGAATTGATTTATCAAAGAAAAACATACATTTTGCAACATGATGCACTGACTATATCATCAAACCCATGCTATCTCTTTCTCGATCACACTACGCAGAAAGGAAAGTAATGACATATGAAGTGAACGAAGTTTTTAATACCTAAATTTATTTTATGCTGAAGCCGATCATGAGGTGATAGTCATGAAATGTTTGGCCCGTTACTTGCCGCACCTTGAGGTAGCTCCTGCCGCAACTCCACGTTATTTCTGTAGCGATCTCGCCTTTCTTTGCTTCTGACATTCGGCTGCTGGCCGCTGTAGTTGCCTGTTGTAATCTAGATGTGTATTTCGTTTTTGTACGTTTATTAATAAAGGGAAGGGTGGGATGCGCTGATGCGATTGCACGGTGATCGACAAGGCTTTGCTCCACTTATACCTATCAGATTTTAAATTGTGTTACCCAAACGAACATATTATCTTCTATCACCCAGGACAATTTTTGCTACGTCCTTGAATGTGAAAGAGAGGGAGGGTAAACTGCAAAACAAAGTCGGTTGTGTCAAGGATAAGCGGAGCACGTCGATACACTGTACGGGGCGTGTTGGTACGCTGCGTCCAAGAGTCGAAAGAAAACGTAAAACACAGAAAATGCATGTCACAAAATAGGCAAAAATGCATTTATGGACGTAGTGCACGTCCTCAATGGACTGTGCTGTGTCGTGTTCCAGATGCACGCGCAGCGTGGGCCCGTGATGCTGTACTGGGAGCGCTCCATCGCACAGGCGGTTTGTAGCCGGTCGCGCCCAGCCGAAGCGTGCTGAGGCTCGATACAGCGACGTCATGTTGTTCTGGCCATCACAGTTCAAGACCGGGAAAGATAACAACTGCCCCATACAACCTAAGCGGCGAAAGGAAGCGATGTATCGATAGCTGGATTCGCATCACCCCTCGTCTACCTGCTACCTCTCATAACGACACAAATTACACCAATACCCCATCTATCCGGCTTCTACATCGGTGCATGGTACACATGCCCATTTCCTGCACCCTTGGCATTCCATCCGCTGTTCACATGAATGTGAGTACTTCATTCCGCATACAAAGCAAAAGACATCCATTTCACTTCTCTTTTGCGCGTGAGCCGCGGTCTTCCCAGTCTTTTCTATTCCCTTTTCTTCCTTTTACGTTTCCTTTGGCCGACCTCTTCTGATAGTCATTAAGCTTGTTTCGAACGGGAGCGTTTGTCAAGATCGCAGACCTTCTCTTTCTTTCCTTGACGCTCGCTTTCGTGCTCGAGGCTGTGCTTGTCCATGCGCCCCATTCGTCTGAGGTATAATAAACACCTGCGAGACGTTAAAAACAAAACAAAGAATGCCCCTTTCGGCGACCCTTTTCTTTACAAATTACGCTCACAATGAAATCTACGGAGGCAGGAGCCCCATACCCCTTTAAGCGCACAACGTCATCTACAGAGCACAGGACCATACAGACAGAAAAATAAGGGAAGTAATTTTCTTGTAAGAGATCAGCGACCTGACCTTAGCGTTCATGGCTTATCATGGCCGATTATGCGAATATGATCAATGCCTTGATGTGTGATGCGTGCTACTTAAAATCGTTTACTTGCATGTGTCATGCCTGGCGCTTGATGCGCCATGCCTGTTTAATTGAAGTCTTTCGCATGTTTAAGCGATGCGTGCTGCGTGATGCCTGTTTAGTCAAAATATGTAGCATGTATAAATATGCGTGATTCTTGATGTCCGTTTGCTTGAATTCGTTTGCATGTGCACCTAGATTTTGCATATTCTGATAGCAACTTGGATTTGCGCTGTGTCGTAGTACTGGCTGGAAATTGCTCCTTGTTTGATGCCCTGAATATCTGAGACCCGTAAAAACTGTGGTTTGCTGTTAACAATATCTGAAAAGTCGAGTAGGAGTGACGGGTGATCTTCATTTTACCACTGATATTCGTTTTGATAAAGGCATGCATCCGAAATACCAATGCATCTATCTCCACATTCTCCTGGTTATTCTACGAGGAATAAGGTTTTTAGCACTGTCTTATCCAGTGACTAACGTTACTTACAAATGTACTCAACGACATACGTGAAAACAATCTCTTCCTTGCCAGAGTGTTTAGCATGTACTAAAACCTCAAAGAAACGTTGAAAATTTTTGAAACTTTTCAGCGCATTGATCAATTATAAAGGCTGCCTTTACTTCTCGTGGAAGTACTGTCGGCATCTCGCATCGACGACATCACATTTTTTGTTCAAATCACCCTTGACAGCGCCGCACTAGCACCGGCCGGCCTAAATGTAGAATAATGGCCATGATGCGGTGGCATGGAAATAGCGCAAATAACTAAATTCGAAGGCTGTGACTGTGTACATTTTAAAACACTGGTATTTCGGTCTCATTTGCTCGCCTTCCCCCCACCCCTCCCCGACAGCCTATCACTCAATTATTATTAGCCTGCTGGTGCGGTGCGGTGCGGTGCTGCTTGCAGCTATGTCTACGATGAACCCAACGACATCCTGTGGGCTAGATGAGCTTAGTACTCAGCTCTTACAGAAGTCTTTTCGTGGTGTCGGCTGTCCCCTACTTGACGTCATCAATAGCAGTCTCATTGACGGAACGGTGCCCAGCGCCCGGAAACACGCTCTTGTCACAGCGCTCCCGAAAACCAGTGATTTGAACGATCCTACCAAATTTGGGCCAATCTCTGTAGTGCCAGCGATAGCAAAGATAGTCGAGCGTATTGTTCATCATCAGCTTAGCTCATATTTTGACGAGCGTGATTTATTTTCGCATACACAACACGGATATCGTATGAATTTTTCAACAGAGACCGCACTTACTGTAGTGACTGATAAAATACTCACCGCGATGGATGCTGGGGAGATCGCTCTGCTTGTTTTGATAGATCTGTCAAAATGTTTTGACGTTGTGGATCGCCAGCTTCTCTTATCCAAGCTTAAGATATACAATATTGACACGAAATGGTTTGAAAGCTACCTTTGCGGGCATACCCAAAAGGTTCAGATCAGATATCCTTCAGGGCATACTGCACGCTCTCGCAGTCTTCCGAATGAGGTGGGGGTATTTCAGAGTACCGCCCTCGGGCCGCTCCTATATTCAATTGTCTCAAACGATCTAGCGTTATATTCAGAAGGTGCTACAGTGATGCAATATGCCGATGACACACATATTTTGGTTACTGGAAAGAAAAGTGCAATGCAACATCTTGTCGGAACCATGGAGAGTACCTTGTCAATTGTATTGGACTGGTTTAACAACCACTCTATGAAAGTCAATACAACAAAAACACAGTTAATAGTTTTCGGGATAAAGGCTATGCTGCGTAATATGCCTCCTGCGCATGTCGAGTTCGGGTCAGCTGTCATTACTAAAAGCAGTACTGTCAAAAACCTTGGTGTGGTGATGGACAAAAATCTCACATTTGAACCGCACATTGATCAGCTTGTTGCCAGGTCGACGGGCGCTCTGATGACCCTGTCCCATGCCAAGCATGTACTCCCAAGAGACACCCTCGTTCGCATTGTCGGAGCTCTAGTTCTTTCCTCCATTAGATACTGTATAGCACTGTATGGTACTCACGGAGCCACCCAGCTCCATCGCGTGCAAAAACTCGTGAACTTCTGTGCGCGGGTTGTGAGCGGAAAGAGAAGGTGTGACCATATATCGGATGTTGTCAGGGATCTACGATGGCTTAGTGCTGATCAGCTCGTCAGATATCCTATGTTGTGCCTGCTCAAAAAAGTCTTACTCACGGGTCAGCCACCAGATATAGCCGCGATGTTCACACGTGCTGAGCACACTCATGAAACGCGACGGGCTAACCAGTTGAGGCGCCCCCGAGCGGTGAGCAACTCTGGCACTTGCTGATTTAGCTACAGAGCATCGGATTTGTTCAACTGCCTGCCGCCCGACTTGCGCAATGAGTCTAGGCCGCTTCAAGCGCCAACTTATGGAGTTGCTACTGAGTACGGCAAATGTTGGCACATGAGTGGGTGCGTGTGTGAATTCGATTGTGTGTGATGCTACAATGTGAATGCAGTAGCGTGATTCACCGAGATGATCCCTTGACCGATGTGTGATGTGTTAGGCTATTTTTACTATGTTTCACATTGTCTCTTTTATGCCCGTTTTTATCAATGATGACGTGTAACTTCTAAAAAGTCACTGGATCTTGTGGAAAGTTACGAAATATATGGACATGGACATAAGCACGGCGTTCAATTTGCAATACGTGTACTTGTGCGCGGCCGATGCAGCCTTGCATACACGACATTGTTTTGGAGGCACCGGAAATGTCGCATCGGTCAGCATGACATCTAAGTTCAAATCACCCCTTGACATCGAAGAGCTAGTGGCAGCCGGCCTGCCAAAAGCGTGCTGGTCATAATATGGCACCCGGGAAAATACTCATAATCGGTGTAGAAGATTACAACATTGTACATTTGATTGTCGTCGTATGGAGCTATGGGCCACTAATGCATTAGCGGCTCACATTTCCATCCAGCAGCTCAACTTTCACCGCCTTTATTGCCCACACAGCGGTGGCCGAACACAGGCCGTAAGAAACTCTGTGACTCCAAGGCAAACTTCACATTCCTTTCAGAGTGTATGTCCCCGACGTGCGGTCTCCGTCTGCTCCTCCCACAGTTTTGGCCCCTAATCTTGTGCGAAACTTAATATTTGTTTGTAGATTGAAGTTGCTCTCGTCAAGGACTTCAAACCCATGTTGGAGTTTATGCTCGTTTTCATGGAGCTTGCGGATCGATCCCGGTCTCGGTCACAGGCAAATATAATTATATGAAGTGTGCTTCAGAGAAGGAGATACTGCATTATTCCTGACCTTGTATCAGATACTTTTCAGGTGCGTGCGTTGGCTCCCGTCGCAGGTCTGGAGTTTGCAGTACTGATATCCAAAGAAGCGACCATGGTGCAACGTGTTACCAGACTGATCAGCCCTTACAACGTCGGTGATAAAAGACAAATATTGACCAAAGATTCGTTATTCGAATGACAGGCAAAATATTTCTTGTCGCAAAGCAGCATACAGACGCGCATTCCCTGATTCTGAATAAAAATTAAATCGCGATAGTAGGATACCTGTGGAACGATGAAGTCAAGTACCGCTAGGATAATTCCATGAAAAAACAGGTGTGAACAAGCAGGCATGAAAAAACAACCGTTCAACTCTTATAGAGTCGGCGCTCCCAAACACAAATGCTGAACTAAAAAGGCCTCTTTTATTGGAAGTCGGATACGTCTACGTGTTTTCGATGCATCCAGACGCACCGCAATAAACGATGGCGACACTTAAAGGCTAAAAAAGTCAAAGACAAAGAATCGCGGATGGACATAGCACAAAAGGAAACCCAGTGATCATGCTGTGCCTTCAAGGATTAGCCACCAGTCCCGCAAACAAGGTGACTCTTTCACGTTTGTGGTAGAGGATGACGTAAAATGGCCTTTCTACAATGAAAGGCGTGGAAGGCCAAGGTCCCGCGGTAGTGACCCCCGCCGTCGCCGCAGCCATTGCGCCCTCCTCATTGACCTCCATCACCGCCTTGTGGATGATGTTGCTGACAAACATCTTGTCCGTCGACATGCCGCGGAAATTTGACGCCTGGTGGAAAATCTGCTTGATGCCCAGGTTTTTCATGTAGAAGGGCAGCTCATAGCCACGCTCGAGCTTGAAGGACGGCATCACTACACGTACCTTCGTCTGATGCAGCTGGCTGTGTAGCCAGGTCACGTTCAGGCTGTCCAGAGACTTGCGGACCGTGGCCACGGCACCCAGGGTTCGAAAGCGCGGGCGCAGCACCAACAAGCTGTAATCTTGGTTTTGGTATGGCAACTCCACTACATCAAAGTTTGGCTGGCCGGCGATGCCAAGCCTCGCTTCCACCTTCATCATGTCTATCCTCCGATCACCATACGACGTTAAGAACGACTTCTGCCCGTCCTTCTTGAAGCGATAAAGCCAAGTGCCCTTGAAATGCACAGCGCTGATGAGCACCAGTGCAGCGTAGGTGAGGTCGGCAGTGTTCTCCAGGCCCCTGATGCGTCCGCGCGTTGCTACCGACACCTGCTTGTTGATGACCTGGGCAGCCTTCCTGGCGTCTCTGGGCAACAACTCCACTCCAGACCCGTAGAAGTTCGCCAGCAGGTCGCTGAAGATGCGACGCACGCTGTACCTGTGCGTGTGATAGATCCTGCTGAACCGTGACACCGTGATGCCGTTGCTGTTTTTCGACAAGACCGCCAAGGCCGAACGGTAGCCGCCGAGGAAGGATCTGTCGTATGGGCCGGACATTCCCAGCACAGGCGTCATCTGGATGGAGCAGACAGGCACGCAGTGTCACATCTCCCCTCCGTGTTTCATCAACAAAGATCACAGGGCGATAAATCATGTTTTATGTCCTTTGCAAAGTTAGCTGGCACATGTGCATAAAACCAGTGCAGGTGGCAGGCCTCGCTAAGGATCCATCATCTGTGGCCTCACCTCAGCTCTGGTGGTACCTTCGACGCCCAGCCAGACCTGCGACATCAGCAACGATATCAGGAACGGTGCGATCACATGGTTGTCCACCGGACCCGACGTCACCTCCTTGAGCAGCTTCATGTCCAGGCCAGTGGGCACAGAGGCGCCTCCCAACGTTGCCAGCAGCACGAGTGGTGCCAGCCAGGCGCCTGGGGAGGCATGTCATCTCAGGTCTCACAGAATCCCACACAAGTGTCATTTCTGGCGATGGCCGGCAGCGATGTGCGGCCTCGGTTGTTCTAGCGGGGTACGATAGGGCCACAACAGAGTTAGCGTTGGTTAACTGGTGATGAGCTATAAAGCTGCTAAGAATAGCACTGCTCTGTGATGGTTGGCAGGCCATGACAACAAATACAGGTTTGCCAAGGTCGACACCACCCCACCACCGCATGCCGCCCCGGTGCATTGCTCGTAACATCACCTATCGCCTGACTTGTTACCGATCACCGCCGCATGGATTATGAGTAGAAGAGATCTTTATAAATACCTTTCATGGATATAGTTCAAAAAAATTCTGAAATTTCAGCTAGACCGTTAACGACACACTTTCTGTTTCACAGCCTCAAACTTCCGTTCTTCCCAGTTACCAATGACACAAATGTATGGCATACTGATATGTGTCAAACCATATTCCAACAGCGCTTCAGTTCCAAGATGCAATTCCACCTTAAAGAAACGCACTCACGTCGTTGTAAATAGGTGGGATCTGTGCAAAATCATTTTTGGGGATGAAGACGTAGAAGGTTGATCTACGCCCCTCACTTAGTTAGTAACCTTTTTGTTTCTTGCCACTTTCCGTTTGGGTGGCAATAACTCTCCAAAGTGCTTGCCTTACATGGGCCATGGAAGACAAGGTCGCAGTAGTGATGCATTGATCGAGCCAGCCTTTTCTCAAGTGATGTTGCGGCCAAACACAAAGGGTAAGTTCAGTGATATTTCAGGCTTTGTTCAGACTGCTGGAGTTGAAACGGTGGTTTTATGTGGATTTCTGCGTCTTGTGGAAAAGTAAAACGTAAAGTTGGGGATTACACCAAGCTTGTTGACATTGCCATCCAACTATCAAAACTGTTCAAGTTTCTTTGGTATCACCTAATGTTATACCCAGTTCAGTCGTAATCCGCTGAGTTCCATCCGTGGAGCATTTCGTAGCCCACAGACTATTCAACATATGAACGATTTTAACGTCCGCGTGATAAAAACGACCCGACTCCAAGAAAACAAGAATATGCTCATCGTAATGAGACGAATGCATGTCTGTTGGTGACTCTGTACCTTTATGTAGGTATGTGGACAACCGAGAAATATACATGGCCATGTAAGTGGGTCAGTCCGCTCGTCAGGCCACTCGAGCGGCGTATGCCAGCTCTCACCGGTATTGCGCCTCGTCATGTCCTCGTAGTGTCGATCGGGAGAAGAAATAAACCTGTAGTTGATGTCCGGTCCTGTTCACTTCCAGAAGTGACGATAGAATGCAGGCAGGATCTGCGGGATATGACACAACACGCTGTGTAACTTGAGCCATTGGATCGGTTTCAAGGATTGCAACCTCAGATCGACTGGTTAATAACATCTCATGTACCAAAGTTTGACCTAAGCTGTTCTGTAGAGGCACGTGGTGAAGCTTTTAGTTCGATCCTAATTACGGTTTGCTTGCGTCTAATTTGCTTTCAATGCAAGAAAATTCAGTGCGAGACTTGTTCCAACATTTTTTGGTAAAAATCAAAGGTATTGCATCAGTTTCAGCTGTGAGAGGATGACGTTTGCTACAGAGGGTGCACATAAACGCCATCATGCTTTGATAAGAAAACTGATTAGAAAATATCCGTCCCTGGCATCGCATCTGGTATCGTCCTCCGCATCTGCTCAGGCACAGATACAGCAGTCCTCCGCATCTGCTCAGGCACAGATATAGCGTCCCTGTACGCTTTGTTCAGTTCCCTGTGCGCTCCAAAAACACTGCATACTACTAAAACCGACACTAACAGCAACTTTCAGTTCTCAGATCGCCTCTCACGGCATTCTCTAGCCATGTGACGTGACTCCACTCACCCGAAGCGGCGCTGTTCACTACCCGAAAGGAAGGAAAACATTGACTAATGACGCTTGCTGACGGCTCATATATGCACCTAATGACTCATTCACGCGACACATCAACCCCTGACCGGTCCGTCACTGGCAAAGGTGAGCACGCGGTGGCATGCTGTGGGCTGATGCACGGCCATCTAATAACACATTGGGTGACAGGATCTTATTTGCCAATTTAAATACCTGCAATATCTAAAGAACTCCAATCGCATTTTGTTAACACAGTATCACTGGGCAAGTATGGGAGGAAGCCGGGAAGGAAGCTCCACTTCTGACTCTTTTTTGATTTTTCTCGATAACCTCACAAGAAATATGAAACTTTGATCTGTCGGTGCAAACCTTGAACCTTTTGAATTCGTTAAAAAATGAAAGGTGCTAATTGACAGATTGTGTGATTGTGTCAGGTTTTGCATAACCTTAATTTTTTGGCTTAATTATTTCGGGGTATGGGGAAATACCGGCCACAGGGAAATGACGTGATTATGGGGAAATGTGACGCCTTATCCTATATACTATTATATACGCCTCATATTATCATGGGGAAATACCCATCATGCATTACTGAAATTGTTGTTCGCGTTTGGGGACGAACAAGATTTTAAGTTTGACTCGTTTGATACCTGCGAAGGTTTGGACTGTTGAATTTAAGTCACAAATAGTGTGAGGCTAAAATAAGAAACATCAAATACAAGGTGGCACTGAATAGATCGTAAAATTCGTTGGGATGCAATTTCCTGCCAAATAAAATAGTACCATTTTTGTATTAAGCTCTTTATTATATCTGCAAAAGACTAATGACTTTATTTAATGTAGTAAGTACTTCTGAAGGAAATTGTATGTCTTACATACACAACATTACATGACTTTTGGTAGCCCTAGTGTAATTTACATTGAACGCTTGCTTCCTTTGAAAAGTTCTGGCTGCATGTTGAATAAATCCTTTACTCATGCCAGAATAATGTCATCGGTGTGCACGGAGGCAAAACCACACCTCATTGCAATAGCTTTATTGCTTTTTTCAACTAACATGCGACAAAGTTTTTTTATCTAAAAACAAACATCACTTCAACGACAGCAGACACACACGAGTGTCTTACTGGAAGAACCACTTGTACACAGCTCGTGCTGCCATCTCGAGCAGCCCACACTCTGAAGCCACAACCCCCGACGACCCTCCATGCAGAAAATGTACGCTTCTTCGTATCTTATCGCTGCAGTTGTCTTGTCTACTCCTGCATGCTTTGCCTTTTCGCTGTTGCGCACTTTCAGTTTCTCGTCCTCTTTCCCTTTTCAAGAATCACGACTTGGACTGGGCTGTTTGTGGACACTGCCTACACCTTTCTTTTTTGGTAGATGTCATCTCGTTAGATCCTTCAGCATCGGGGGCTGGATCAACGAAACGCGCTAAGTACGTGTGATGCTGTCCGCATGGGTTTGTGCGGCCGTAGGCGTAGCCAAGGGGGGGGGGGGGCGCAAACGCGGCCATGTGCTCCCCTAGAGGCCAACGGGCCCTGTGGCCTTTTGAGGACATGCTGCGGGCCTCAGTCGACATTTGTGTGGAACCTGTCCACCTGAAGAGGGCCTCTATCGGCATTTAGATGGCCCCAGCGATCTGCAAACGCCCCTCTTCAGCATTCAAGGCCCTGTCGACCTATAAAGGGCCTTGGTTGCTTTAGATGGCCCCTGCTAGTTGTTGAGCTCCCTTTACCAGCCTTGCCCCCCGCCGGCCTTTATACGGCAAGAGTAACATAGACTAAAGGGGCCCACCCGAGAACGTGGGAACCGGGAGGGCAAGTCGTTCCCCAACTTGAACGCTGAGAGGCGGTGCCCCCCCCCCCCCCATCGTTCTGGAGGGACTGTAGAGAGCCTATTGTGTCCTGTTAAAGACCCATTATTGACAGTGAAGGGTTTATTTTCTCTTGTACATGGGACCAGTCAGGCTTGTAATGAGCACATTACTTACTGTAGAATGCTCATTTTGGCCAGTAAAAAATCTTCTTTTTTGTCTGTGGAGGGCCCATTTTGGCCTGACCAGAACAGTGTCCATTATTGACTGTGGAGAGCTAAGTCTGGCGTGTAGAAGTCCATTCTGCCGTGGCGAGTGCCCATTCTGGCATGGCGAGGGCCCATTCTGGCCCGTAAATGGTTTATTCTGGCCTGCAGATGGCCCATTCCGACACATAGTTGGCATGCTATCGATTATGAAGGGCCCATTCTGCTGGCAAGGAAATATCGCCTTCGACAACCTCCTAGAAGGTTGATGATAGTATGTATTAGCTCTTTAAATATAGTAGCATTGTATAGCGTAACAAAGAAACCACAATAATAGCTGGCACCCCCATGATCAGGCGTGAAAACCATGCAACACAATCTCGGGAAGAGTCAAATGTGATTCGCCTCTGGTCTTCCCAATTCATTGCTGGCAAATTCCGTTGATGTGGTAGAAACTAGGTGATAATGACTTGAGTTAAGTTGCATGTTATTACTGCCTTTGTTGAACATTTTCTTGGGCTTCGCCGTTTACTTCGCCGGAAAATGAATAATTAGAGTTAGTTTATAATTTTTAGGAGCCCCTATAGCTGACGGATTTTAGTTAATCTCTCCGTCATCGGCCAACTTCGCATTCCTTCCAGAGTGTGTGTCCCCGACGTACGGTCTCCGTCCCCTCCCCCACAAGTATGGCCCGCAAATCTTGTGCGAAATTCAATGTCTGTTTGTAAACTGAAGTTGCCCTCGTCAAGAACATAAAGCACATGTTGGAGTTTATGCTCGCTTTCATGAAGCTTGCAGATCGATACTGGTCTCGGCCAAAAGCGGACCAAATTAATCAAGTGTGCTTTTGGGGAAGAAGACACTGCATTCTGGCTGACCCCATATCAGATGTTCTTCAGTTGCGTGCGTTGGCTTCCGTCGCAGGTCTGGAATCCCCAGTACTGGTATCCAAAAATGGATCATGGTGTAACGTGTTACCGGGCTGATAAGGCCTTACAACGTCGATGATAAAAGACAACCCCTGATGTGTCCAAAGAATCGTTATTCGAATCTCAGGTAAAATATTTCTTGTCGCAAAATGGCATAATGACGCATTCCCTGGAATTGGATAGAGATTGCTTCACGAGATAGGAACCTTGTGGAGCGATGAAGTTAGGTACCGCTTGGAAAGTTCTGAAAAAGGCGTGAGCGCGGCCGTTCAACTCTCATGGAGGCGGCGCTCCCGTACACAAATACTTAACTCAAAAAACCTCTTTTAATAGTAGTCGAATATGTCTATGTATTTTCGGCGCATCCAGACGCATCGCAGTAATTGATGGCGACACTCAAGGGCTAAAAAACGTCAAAGACAAACAATGGCGGATGCACATGGCACAAAAGCAAACCCAGTGATCATGCTGTACCCTCAAGGATTGGCCACCAGTCCCGCAAACAAGGTGACTCTTTCACGCTTGTGGTAGAGGATGACGTAAAATGGCCTGTCTACAATGAAGGGTACGGTGATAGGCAAAGACCTCGCGATTGAGAACACCGCCGTCGCCTTAGCCGTTGTACCCTCCTCATTGACCTCCATCACCGCCTTGTGGATGATTTTGCTGACAAAGATTTTGTCCGACGACATGCCGCGGAAATTTGCCGCCTGGTGGAAAATCTGCCTGATGCCCAGTTTCTTCATGTAGAAGGGCAGCTCATAGCTACGCTCGAGCTTGAAGGATGGCATCACTACACGTACCTTCGTCTGATGCAGCTGGCTGTGTAGCCAGGTCACGTTCAGGCTGTCCAGAGACTTGCGGATCATGGTCACGGCAAACAGGGTTCGAAAGCGCGGGCGCAGCACCAGCAAGCTATAATCTTGGTTTTGGTACGGCAACTCCACTACATCAAAGTTTGGCTGGCCGGCAATGCCAAGCCTCGCTTCCACCTTCATCATGTCTATCCTCCGATCACCATCGGACGTCAAGAACGGCTTCTGCCCGTCCTTCTTGAAGCGATAAAGCCAAGTGCCCTTGAAATGCACAGCGCTGATGAGCACCAGTGCAGCGGAGGTGAGGTCGGCAGTTGTCTTCAGGCCCCTGATGCGTCCTCGCGTTGCCGCCGACACCTGGTTGTTGATGACCTGGGCGGCCTTCCTGGCGTCGCTGGGCAACAACTCCACTCCAGACCCGTAGAAGTTCGCCAGCAGGTCGCTGAAGGTGCGGCGCACGCTGTACCTGCGCGTGCGATAGATCCTGCTGAACACTGACGTCGTGACGCCGTCGATGTTCTCCGACAAGACCGCCAAGGCCGAGCGGTAGCCGTCGAGGAAGGATCTG